GGAAAGTGCTATGGCTAGAATCAATGCTCTCATCTGTATACAAGTTACTATTAGCAATAAATCAATCTATATAGGGACGTACCATATGCCTTGTCTTTACAAAGAACCTGGTATGATGCTGATTCATTCTGCAATTGTGAAAGATTTGATGTTTCATTTAACAGGTGGACAAGATTTTATTCTTGCTGGTGACTTCAATTTTGACCCAACAGATATATGCTACAAGGCTTTAACAGAGAAAAATTATGATGGCTATCAAATACCAGGATCTAGTACTTATGAAATTTCGTATCGTCACAACGCTGAATAAGTATTGAAGAGTGCTTATCGAGAGAAAAACGGAGTCGAACCGACTTACACAGACTTTGCTCATACACCCAACTGTCCAGATTATTGTGCTACATTAGATTATATATTTTTTCATGAGCATCTTACGATAGAAAACGTGTTGGAATTATCAGATCATCCTTCTAGTGAATCTTATCCAGATGAAACACATCCATCAGATCATATTATGATTGCAGCAACAATTCGATTACTATAATTTTATGAAACTTTTTTTTTGAGTTGTTTCCCAAGATATGAAAAAAATTATGGTGGTAGACGACGTTACAATTGTTTCTACACTCGTGGCTATTCACTAAGTAAAACAAAAAAAAACAGTTTTTATTTTCTTTCGAACTCATTGGATTCAATGTTGAAATGATAAGAAATTATGTATTACTGTTAAAACATCCCTAAGCTGACGCTATTGGTTTATCATTCAAAATCATCTTTTCGTCCTCTGCATGTTCACTATGAATAGGGGAGTAACCAGGGGGAGGGGGGCTCAGGAGTCTCAGCCCCCCTATAAAAAATAAGTTTAGCCTCCCTACCATGGCTGTGGCCAACGGCTTAGCCCCCCACCCCCACCCTACAACTTTTCTCTGGTGACGCCCCTAACTATGACGCGGATATTACTGCCTTCTAGCCAAGAATGATAATACTTTAATGACTCTTATGCCAAATAATGCAGTACATCGTAGTAAACATTATTAATCTCATTAAAAGTATCAGAGATAGTCTGACTTCTCACACTAAACATATTCGATTAGCTAAAATATAACATTTGTTTTATCCTTAAAAAAAGTAGAATAAAAATATTGTTCGATACGTTTAACTGCATCATTGTCATACAGTGGAAAAAATATTAATATTTTGTTAGATATCTTGTCCATATCGTGACAATGTGTGATCAGATAATTGTAGCAGAATAAAAGCCAAACAAAAATATCTAATAAAAACGGTCAATACAACATTTTTATCTTTCTCAAAATTTTCACAATCATTCTTCTTTCTAGTATTGTAAACATCAGTTTATAGAGTGAATACGAATGATAACCTTTCTATATCGAAAATAATCCGCTTTTGGAAAATTTTCTTCATGTTTCACAACAATGATTGATTAAAATTGTGCTAACGTTTATTTTATTTTCGTCTGAACAATTTTCGGGTGACCAGAACTTCGCCAATATACCTCCTGTACTTTTGCCAATTGGCGAATATCCAGTGAACTTTGTGCGTGTGGGTGTAGAACAAGATCCCTCAAAATCTACACCCACACCCTCAATATTCAATCAAACAAAGTTGATATTCTCAAAGACTAGTTCAAGGTTGATCTACTAACAGCGTCGGAATGTTGAAATTCGATTAAAATGTTTTTCGACAAAAAATACATGGGTAAACCTTTTTAAAATCACAAAATTTGGCATAAATCTTTTTGGAGGGTTATTCCATCATGTCAGAGTCATTTTTAGAATCCCCAGGTAGTGGACATTCGAATGGCGACTTCCAGATCGTTCAACTCAGTTTCAGTCGGGGGATATGAGTTAGGGAGCTTTAAAAAGTTTAATAACTGTACTAATTATTATGATAGATATCGCGATTATTTTAATCAAAGATTTTCTTAAGGAGATACCTTTTTTGTTCTCAACGAATGTACATATTGAAAACAATTATAGATGCTCATCTTGTTACAAAAATAAATCTAATGTAGATTGGATGCCGCTAACTCATAGTTACAGCTGGTAAAATCTCGTGAGTAATGAATAAGTAAAAGTACAACTTATCTATTGATGATTTGATGGAAAATTTCCATCATTTTTTTCTGTATTATAGACAACATTTATTGAACAGAAAAAGGCATTATTTACAAATCATACTTCTAAATCGAAGTCTTTCTTTAATTTTGCCATCTCATGAAGTTTATTTTTGGCACCATCTGATAAATTACAATTATTTATATAGATTGTCTTTAAAGAATGATTGCGTTTGAGCATATGTACAAGAGCATCAGCACTTGAATCACTAATCGCTTTATTTGAATTAAGAAATAACCATTCAAGACTACTGTTGTGATAAGCGAGTGTGTTGGCTAATTGTTCTACTCCTCGATCTCCTATATTATTTCCAGATAACCACAACCATGTTAACATTCGATTTGTTTTCAACATTTCAGCTATGTGTTCTATGCCGACATCTGTTATATCATTATGACCAAGATAAAGATGTTGAAGAATCGATGGATTCATCGTAGACATCTAAATGAAAACATTTTATCCTATTTGACTTTGTATTATGTAGTGCGCGGCCACAAAAACATTCAAGTTTTTCTCAGCAGTAAGAGAGCCATGAAATGTTCAAATCAGAAATTATACGAAATTCTTGAAAAATTTTCAACATTCAAGATGGCTTTTTTTAAAGCTATTGCAACTTCATGCAAACATCCGATGTCATGTTAGTGCTAATCTTGATGTCGCTTTTATTTTCTCAACGACAGATACGACGTAGAGTCAATCGTTTTTAGTTTGGTTATCTACGAAAACATATTACACATAGCCTTTTTCCCAATTGCAACTGGATCACAAACTATAACAATAATACTCACAAGCTGTAAAAGAAAAGTAATTCTCCAGCTGTGAAGAAACTCACAACAAACATAACTTCTATAACTAACATTTTCTCATGATCTCACTATTTACAAAAGATGAAATTATCTTTCTTTTTTGAACATAATTCTCATATGCACACATTCATATTGACGAATCTCTTGGTAAATATGTATGCGAAAGCAAAAACTCATAGATATATGATGTTCTTTTTAATTCAAGATCATGGAACTGTATAAATACTAAGAATTAATCATTATTTTGTTCGTGCTGGAAAGTCTCAATTTTTCGAGAAGCGAATATTATGTTTATTTGGAACGCGTGTACATAACTTCTCTTGCATTAACCATAACATCGAACAAGAACTATTGAGCTTCTAATAGCATTGTCTATTAAAATCGTAAATTGAATAAAGCTGTGAATTATGGATGTTTAGCATGTCAATAATATTCGACGTATAATTCAAAATTTAATACTACGTGGGTCATTCTGAAAGTTTTTAGATTTGCAATACTGTTAGCTTAGTTTGAAAGAATTTTATTATATTTGTTCGAAGTAATGTTCTTGTGCACTAATGCACTTATTCATTCTTTCGAACCACTTTTTATAACATTGGTAGAAATCATCTTTTTAAAGATCAGTCTATTTGTGTTCTGACAGCATCATCAAGTTCATTAATATCCTGAAAGTTTTTACCACGAAATTGCTCTTTAATTTTTGGGAACAGCCAAAAATCACACAGACTTAGATCTGGTGAATATGCTGAATGGCCTATCAATTTGACGTATTTAGTATCTAAATATTCCATTGTTAGTGCTGTCCTGCGTGTAGGTGCATTGTCATGATGAATAAGAAGACCATTGAGACGTCGATGTTTCTCCACTTGTTTGGGTACCTGTGTAATACCTTCATTTGTACACCACTCAGCTGTAACTGTTTTACCATTTTCAAGAGGAATGATTGTATTAAAGCCGGACTTCATGAAGAAAATTGCAAACATATTTTTACCAACAGAACGTTGCCGACGAATTTTAGCTGGATGAGGATCATTGCTTGCCACCCAAAAATGACTTTGACACTTCATTTTTGGATCATAATAGTAGAACCAATTTTCATCACCAGTGATAATACCACGCACACGTTTTGACTTGCAGCCATCAAATTTTTGAACATTTGTAGGCAATAGTCAACACGGTCTTGGTTTTTAGCTTCACTTAAAGAATGTCGCACTCAACGACATGTAGCTTTTTTTAAACCAAGATAATCATGAAGAATAATTTCAGTTGGTGCCGATCCAATCTGTAAAGTGTCTGCTATCTGTTGACATGTAATATGTGGATCAATGTCTACCAGTTCACGAACAGCTTCGATGTTTTCTGGAGTGACTGCAGTTTTTGGTCGACCAGTACGAGGTTCATCTTCAATCTGATCCCTGCGGCGACGAAATCCCGCAAACTAATTGTAAACTGTGGTACGAGAAACACAAGAGTCACCAAAGGTTTTGTGTAATGATTCAAGGCATTCCTCTTGTGATAATTGTTTTTTGTAATCATAACAAATCATAACTCGAATTTGATCTCCTGTTGGATTCATGATTGTAACAAAATACTTTGTTGATATATGAGATGTTGTTAAAGAGATTATTCGTTACTGCTGCAGCTTTTATTTTTATTTGTGATCACAAAGAGAAACTGGAAGAATAGCATTACCGCTATTCTTAGTGCGCATATGATATTAGTTACACTACTCCATTCTCTGATTTTCCAGTTCTGATGTATAATACAATGTACTCGCTTTATATATGTGCACACGAGAGAGAAAAGAATAGAAAAAGACATAATAGGCATATGCGCTTTACGTAGGTTATGTCTAAAGATATAATCACCTTACATAAAAGTAGATGGATAACATGAAGAAGTATAACAGATAGATTAATGAGAGTAACAAGCTATGCAAGGCCTATGGCATATTGCATAACACTTATCATAATGTATTCCTCCTTCCTAATACCGGATCAGAGGATATTCCAAATAAATGGAAACGCAAATATGTGAACAATCAAGGATGTCCATGCATTATTGGCACATTGATGATGCAAAAAAAATATGTCAGTAGTGAATCACTTAATCTACTAAACAACTAAACAAAAAATGTCTAAGAGCTAAAACTTTGTATACTTTCTTCTAAGACTTGAGTCTACTACCACAACTACCAAAGTCTTAGATATCTCTTAATTTAACAAAGAATCTAAAAACTTTCAGAATGACCAACGTACTCTAGAAAATTTCATAGTTGAAAATCAATCATTAGGAAAAAATAATCTTACTTCTGTATATTCTTGATCCTGATAATTTTTCTTACCATGATTAAGTACATTTGTTAACCATTCCACACCTCGATCACCTAAATGATTCTTTGATAAATATAAGTCGGTTAATGTTTGATTATTTTTAAGCATTTGAGCTAAATAGTGTGCACCTTCAGTTGTAATTCCATTTGATTCAAGATTAAGTGTCTTAAGATTTGAATTTATAATGGATAACGCTAAATATTTTACACCTAAATCTGATACATAATTGTTTCTTAGATCCAATGATTCTAGCACCATATTGTTATTTAAACCTTCGGCTAATGTTAAAGCACCTAGTGACGTTATATGATTATCACGTAATCGAATACGTTTACAACGATTTTTTATAATAGCATGTTTAACGACAATTTTTATATCTTGGCCAGTTATATGTTGTTCATCTAAATCTACAGTCCAACTACGACCACTTTCGACAATTAATTGTTCAATTGATGTATTTCGGTAACTACCAGTAGATATAGATGTTTTGTGGCTTGTCCCTATTTTTTCTGACTCTTTTTTACTTGAAAAAAATCTTAATAAAAAACAAAACATGATTAATATAATAGAAAATAAATTCAATTCATACTTTTTGAAAGAACTTCTAGGCTTAATAGCTGGAGTTTCCTAGATAAATGCAGCCATTAGAGAGTATTCCTCAATTTATTGAAAACAAAATTATACTTACACTTTGTAGAAGAAATGATGATTGAATTTCTTGCAGAGTAATTAAATGAAGATTAATATCTTGCTCAACGGATAGAATTACTTTAAATTGAGTTCCCGGTAAAATTAATAATGAATTATCCGATTGAAAATATGTATGTTTACGAATATCTTTGATTGTATTACATTCAATTGTAAATAATGTTCTTGTTTCTATTTTATCCGAACATTGTTCTGACTTAAAAGGTTCAATTGAAGTTGTACATAATGAAAAATCCCACCAGACAATAATTTCATCCTCGTCATATTGTTTCATTAAAGCTGATTTACTATGTCGGTAGACAGTTAGATGAATTGATGGAAGATGCAAAACAGCGGTAAATAAAAGTTTTAAATACAGAAACCATGGCTTAAGACTGTGTTGATTCATCGATTGTAATGTACTATTTAAAACAACATAGAGACATTCATTCAATGGTTGCCATCCTATTGAATAAAGCATAATGGAAGCTGATTCGTCAGATGTTAATCCATCAGCAGGATTTGCACATTTATCTTTCATCAGATGAACATACGTTTGAATTTGAGGTAAAAAAGGTATCAAAGGTAGAACAGCTTGTTCCAATGAAACAATTGGTATTTTATCATAACCATCGATCGATTTCAGAAGTTCGTATTGAATTCTATGTACACTATCTTGTTTGAATAGTTTTTGCTTCCTGTTACACGCACCCATGATTGAAATAATATCTAGAGAGAGAAATCGAACGAACCGCAAAGTAATATAAGTTTTGAATAATTTTAGCAGAAATTTTTTTATTAACGTCGAAAAATGTGAAAGAAAGACAACCCTAGTAAAGTTACTCATAGGGTAGTACTCAAAAAGTACTCATCAGTAGTACTCGAGCCAGATTTTGACGGGTTGAGTACGACTACTGAGTACTCGCCTCACAAAACTGAGTTTTCTATGAGTACTACCCACACGTCTTCCTAGTACTCTGGTAGCTTTTTCCAAGATTTACTCATGCATTTTTACTTAGTTCACTATTTTTTATACTATATGCATTCTATTTCGTTAACCTATCAACAATGGTATATTAGTAAAATGAAATGATTTATAATACTAACATACTTTAGTATTTTATTGCCTATAAATTACATAAATAAATACTATGTTTCAAAAAACAACACTTAACACATATAGAAGACGAATGAATACACAATGTTTTCGAGAAGGATATTTGATCACTATGAATACACAGATACAAAAAAATACAGAAAAAAGAATACTATAATTTGTTACGATACAGCACTCAATAGTACGAACAATTAATTTTTAAATTTTTAAATAGCTTTTTGATTCGATTCGTGTATGTAAAGCACTTTAATGTTAAAGCGATCCTTATAAAAAAAAAAAGAAACTTCATGACATGAACCATGGATGCTATTTAGTAACCAGAAAAAAAAGCTTAATTAATCTGAAACAAAGTTTTATTTGAAATTTAGAAATTAAAATTTATCAGATTATTGTTTATACACATTGAAAAGACACACTTTGTTTTATTCGAAAATTGAACAGTTGAAAATGAAAAGTGTATATGTATATATATATGCGTCGCTGTTCATAAAATGAAATATAATTGATTTGATATATCCAATCGTTATAAAATCAAAAATAAATCATCTACCAAACATGAATGATGGAATCAATATATCCACAAAAGTATTTCGTTAATATTCTTTAATTAATTTCATTACTTTTTGTTTTTATACAATCTTATTTAACTTTTTACATGTTAATGTATTGGTGTTTTATCGAAAAACAGAATAGATTACTACTTTGAATACTCAGACTATCCTATACGAGTGAGTTTCAGAAAGTTAACTTATGCGAGTACTCATTTGAGTACACGAACATTAAAGATACACAGAGAATTTCACGAGTACTCCAACGAGTCTTTTGTGTGCTCATGCTGGTAGGTCGTACTCGCTTGATGAGTATTTTCACTAGGGAACATTTCATATTTATTAGTTTCCTGCTTACCGCTGGGTATGAGTGTTCCTTCAGTTTTCTCTCAATCATAAAAAATATACTGGATGAAATGATTTCTAGTTATACAGTAGATGATATCTAATTTCATTATTATCAATTAAATATACAGTGTAGTCGATTCAAAAACACAGGCGCAACTGACAATCGAATGGAAGAGGAAAAATTCAACAACTATCAACGAAGTTCTGTAACTGTTTTCATTCTCTGAAGAAAAAAAACTGATACTTAATTGCATTTTTGTAAGATACATTCCATTACGAAACAAATACGAGTTTCATTTTCTATCTTCTGCGTGTCGTTCGAATGTTAATTGGTAACGAGTTAAAGTTGTGATAAGATGAAAACAGAATGAAAAATAACATGAATGGTTACCTTTTCTTTTTTTGGGCGTACTTCGTAACATATATTAAATCCACCGATAAAACTTTGCAGGAGAAAAAATAAAAAAACATACGTTCTCTCGATTCCAGATAAAAATCGCATCAATATACTGTATTTTGCTTGAGCGAAAGAAAATATAATTAAACTTTTAATTCAAAATCCAAAGAAAAAAAATCTCTTGACTTCTTCTATTTATTTTATGTAATCAAATTCTGCCATGAAAGAAAATAAAAACGGAATTATACGATACTTTTTGCATATTGAAAAGTAAGTAAAAAAAACATGAATTAACCAATTTCTTTTACAGTACAAGAAAAGCCTTGAAAACTAAATAAATTTAAAAAAAAAACAGTTACAAAAGTATTAAGATATTTTTTTTTGGTATAATTCATAAGAAGGTACAAAAAAAGAAACATATTTTATTACATATATAATTTTGAGTCTTCATGTTTTTTTTCTGTTTCTTTTTTGCTGCTGTTATTTTTCTGTTACATTTGGGTAGAGAGTAAAGTTTTCTCTACTCTTTCTTGTTTTTAAAAATTTTTGTTCTCGTTTTTCATGAGATCACCTTGATGAGTAACGGTAGACATCAATAGTAATTATGCTTTTAGATTGACAGCAATCAATTATCTTCAGATAAAATCAGTCTCTTAATAGATCACATGATTAAGAAATTTGTGCACTATTTAGTGAAACAGTGTCCTATCAAGAAGGAACCGTTATCATGGTAATAAGTGTGCAAGAAATTATATGTAGGATTAATTTACTATTCAATGAATTCCAATAATAGGAGAATAGTCAGTTAACTTCATATAACTGCATATGATTTTGAGAGGTGAACATAAATATTGCAGTGTCGATCATCGAATAGAACCCCGATTCATCATTCAGACCGCCTAAAAGATGGCATTAAACTGCCTGAAACGGTTAAAAAACGGCGCAAATGATGCCCTGAACGATGAAAAACGACCGCAGCTTTTTAGCAGCTTTCCGTCAACTAGGATTACGGACCGTTTTCCCCGAAACGTTAACGGTGTTGTTTAAGGCCGTTTCCGACGAAATAGGGCAAGTAATAAAAGCATTCCATTTTCGTCCATTCTGACGTGATCACTTCGTTTTTCACCGTTTTACATGCAGTTATTCTGGTCATTTATACTTTTTAAACATTTTAATTTAATAATATTATTATATATTTATTTTCAAAAGAAAAGTCTATACGCAAAACAACATGAAATAAAACAAAAACCAAATCAAAAAAAATATTAAAAAAATAAAAATAATGAAATAATCTGCAAATTAAAATAAAATAAATAAAATAAATTCAATGAAAATACAGTAAATAAAATATAAAAGAAAAGAAACGAAATAATATAATTACAATAAAAAGAAAAAGAAAAAACATGAAAAGAAAATGAAATAAAATAAGTTGAACGAGAGTGTCTGAGTAGCTATCTATTTTACCCATATTTATATCTCCAAATAAAACAGATGCAAAACGGTAGAAAATAACATTCGCCTTAGGAGGTAGTCGTTTCCGACAACACGGAACCGTCACCTAAAAGGTCACCGTTTTTTCGCCGTATCACGTCATTTTCCGGTACTTCGCTGCTGACCATCGTAGCCGCTGTCGTTTAGAGCCGTTTATGGGTTGTTCTATTCGACATGGGAAATTGACGCCTTTGGCTTTTTTAGTGTGTGAAAATATAATTTAAGAACGAAAGATTACTATTTTTGTTTGTTTGCTTGTTAAAACTAATAATGATGAGAAACAACTGGCCCAAACCGGGATTGTTGGCACTGCGACAATCCGCCAATAATGGTGACACAACTCCAATATACATGATAATTCCTCGTTTTTTCTTAATTCTAACCCAAGAAACTAAACCTACTGCATCATATTCCTTGACGGTTTCTCTTTCTTTTAGAAGTTTAACATCGTCTGTACTGGACTAGTCAGCTAAAAATGTGCTTTTCATATATTATTTTTATTGATTTATTCACTCAAGCTACATCTATATCATAGCAAAACATTGTTAATTGTCATGATGATAAATCATCTGTGTTAAATATATATGTATACTTATTGAACAATGTTGTAACATTATTATAAAAATCCGGTCAATTATATCCGCGAGTTGCAAAGGTCTACAGTTTCTTATTTACTCTCCCAATATACTACAGCTGCCAATGAACGATGTTTCAATAAATTAAAATTCATCAAAAACCATTTACGTACAATATCAAAAAGACGAAAAAATTGAATTTTTAATTCTATGCTCTGTTGAACATGATTTATTGAATAATTTTGATTTAAACGCGTAAGCTAATCAATTGGTAAGATATTTTTCGCTGTTTTCCTATATTCTAATCGAACCAAACATATTTAAGTTAATATTAATACTTGTTTTATTTTCGATTGCTTTAGGCACAGATGAAGGACCGAAGGGTCACAATCGGTTCAACGTATAACAAGTGAAAAGTATGAAGGTACATTATAACATAAAGTGTACTATATTTAGTATGTGTGAGTGTGACTGTGCCAAGAAGTACGTCCCCCGTAAAGGACTAGATTAGATAGGGGTTGTATGAACCGCCGGACGTCCACTTGTAAGTCATAGAGCTGATGAACACACTGCGGTGGCGTAATTAAGTTTACATCACGAATATTCATCCTTGCATATGCCAACACATAATCGCGCACTGAACAGTACGTAATCTTTCTGTGTATCTTTTCTCTCTAGATATCTTTTTCTTTATTCGTATCCCCTCTGAGATGCTAGGTAGTCAGCAAGCTCGTTACAAAATAATGATTTCGAATGATTTAG